AGCTCGGCGCGGGTCATCTTGCGCCCGGCGCAGCCACTCTGCTATGTTCCTTAGCTCCTTAGATTTCCAATCCTAAGGGTCTTCAATCCTCAACTCTCTAGCTCAATACTTGCACAAAAAATGAGGTATATTAAGGTATTGTTAGCTAAATTTGGGTTAGTTATATCTGCACATAAAATGAACCAAAAAGAGAACAATTATATTGCAATGGTTTAGAGGATGAGTGGAATTGTTCAATAAGTCTCATCCAAAAAGAAGTAAAATTGAGACTTAACAATATTCACCACCACAATCAGATTTGATGGCCTTAATCTTCTTTCCAAGTTGAAGCTCAACTTCAGCTTTAAAAGATTTGAAAACATCTAGGGATTGAGACTTCTCATGAATTAAAAATAGGTAGCCGTACCTTGAATAAACATCTATGAATGTAATGAAATATTGTTGCCCATTCTAAGACGCCGTAGAAAATGGTCCACAAATATCTGTGTGAATTAATTCCAAAACGTCCTTAGCCCTTTTGACACCTAGTTTTCTAGAATTTGTTTGTTTACCCTTAATACATTCAACGCAAATTTCAAAGTCTGACAAGTCTAAGGGTTCAAGAACCTCATCTGACACAAGCCTCTGAATTCTCTGTTTAGAGATATGGCCTAAATGCTTATGCCATAAGGTGACTAAGGTCTCATTTATTTTGTGCTTCGTACCACAAGAATCAATGTGAAAATTTCTTTATTGGAACTAACTACATCTAGTAAGTATACATTATCAATTAAAGAACCAAAACCAACAACATTTGAATTTTGATAGAGGCTAAATTTATTATTTCCAAATGAACAAGAAAAACCAAATTTGTCTAAACTATAAATAAAAATTAAATTTTGCCTAAAAGACGGTACAACAAAAGTCTCAGATAAATCCAAATGAAATCCAATTTTTAACTATAATCTAAATGTTCCAATAGCCTCCATTGTGACCTTGTTGTCATCACCCACATAGATAATCTTTCATTATCACTTGTTGGTCAGCTCCAAAGGCAACCCTGCATGGATACACTAATGTGAGTAGTAGCACCATAATCTACCCACCAAGTATCATGTGGTACAAAAGCTAAATTAACTTCAAAACAAACAATAGAAAGAAAATTACACTTCTTTACACGCCAATAGGCGTACTTGGGAGTCTCTTTCTTCATATGCCCAAACTTCTTGCAAAAAAAACAAGTAGGTGTGTTTTCATCCTTTTTGACTTTCTTTTACTGAGAAGTCCTTTCTACAACATCCTTATTATTCTTTCTCTTCCTATTCTGAGAGCTTGACGCTAAATGAGCACTTTCAGTGTTTTCTCTTTGCTGCCTTTCCTTTTCTTGCACACAGTGAAAAATCAGTTCATTCAAGGTCCATCTATCTTTCTGAGTATTATAACTCACCTTGAATTGTCCAAAGTGTGTAGGAAGGGAAATCAAAACTAGGTGCACGAGTAAGTCATCAAACAACTCTAACTTTAGTGCTTTTAGTTTTGACGCGAGATGACATTTCCATAATGTACTCACTTATATTTCTTTTACCTTATATCTCATAAAGATAATTTTAGCAAGCAAACTTCTTGCATCATCTTTCTCATTACTGGTGAAATATTGCTCAACAACACCAAATAAACCTTTAGCATTGTGGCTCTTAGAAATAGAGCCTTGAAAAACTTCTAGAACAGATCGCTTCATGATCATCAGACACATTCGGTTTGAGTGTTCCCACTTTTCAACCTTATCCTCATCCAGGTTTTCTAGAGTTGGAGTGAGTTTCTCAGCCCAAAGTGCAAGATCAAGATCCATACAACCAATAATTATCTCAACTACTTTCTTACAAGCCTTAAAGTTTGTCCCATTAAGCATGGATATACAATTAATTTGAGCAGAAAAGTTAACAACACTAGTAACAACAACTGTAATAGAACATAGATAAAAAAAATTTAATTACATGCTCACAAAGTAAAATGAAAATAAAATAAAATAAAATAAATAAACATGTAGATTATTTACATAATAGACCCATTATAAGATATCGAGCACAACATTAATTCTTTGTCTTTGGACATACAGATTAACTTGTTAGTGGTATTCTCAATGCAACGATCAAATATTGACAATTAATTATGTCAAATAATAGCCTTTATTTGGATCAACTATTGTTCACATGATTGTAACTTTATAATTGTCACATATTTATCATCACAGGCATGTTATTATTTGGCCAAATTGTGTCTTCCTTTGGAATGATCACAAATTGCATAAATAATCTCATACTAACATCTATTGCAATTTTTAATTAAATTAATTTCTATAACAGGGATTGCTTTGATATATTACATCAATTAGTTTAATTAAAATTAGTAGACAATTAATTAATAAAGAGAGTCTATAATCTGCCAAAATTCACACTCAAATCTGATATAAAAAAAATATCAATTCAAATTTGAACATAATATCAATGGTTGAGAGAATTTCAAATTTCAAGAAAATAATTCTTACGCGAATGCCATTAAGATTTCGATAATGTGAGATTTAATATATTGATCATATAATTTTCCCAAATATCATTTAATATTACAACAATGACTTTGACAAAATTATTCCACTTCTGGTAGTACTCAAAGGATTAAACATAATACCATGTCTTTATCTATCCTTTTCCTTTTCACTTTTCATATTATTTTCCTACTTTCAGTGAGGAAAATATTCTTTTATTTCATTGTTGTACAATTATCTCACTTCCAGTAAGAAAATATTCTTTTATTTCATTATTGCAGAATTATCTCACTTCCGTGAGAAAATTAAAATGCTTAAAATTTCTTCATTTGACAACCTCTTTTAGATCATTGCAAAATTATTATTATTATTATATATATATATATAACATTCATGAAAAATTATACAATTTCACAATACAAAAAAAAATCCCTTTAATCAATCCTATTAATAAAAATTTAATTTTTAATCGATCCCCGAATCCATATAACCAATTAAACCAAATTGAAGCTATTATACGACCAACGCATTCAAATACATGTACTGTCAATGAAAAAAAATGTAATAATACACTTTAGAGCCCCATAACCTAATGACAACGACGACTCTGATACCACTTGTTGGGATAAATTTCTTAAGCCAAATAGAAATTTTTCATTAATCAATATTAAGAACCGTTGTCTTAAATTATAGAGTTAAGGTTAGTGACAAATACCTGTATCCATTGATGTTGATCAAAAATTACAGTGGAATAGTCTTTTGGTGCAATGATCTTCCTCAACCAAATCATTGGATTCCTTAACGGGACTTGATGTTACTCTTCTAATGGGGAGACAGAGAGACGTGCGTTTCTAATTTGGCATCTTGGGGACCATGACTGTCTTTACGATTTTAAACCTGTTAGGGTTCCATTAACCCATAACAGGCCAAATCTGGTTTTCACTTATTTGGGCTCATATCAGTTTTTCTTGTTGGCAGTCTAAAGGCTCATTAAAATTAGATCACTTTTATTGAGCCCAACTAAATGTAAATAACTAATATAAATACTAAAAATAATATATGTAGTCCACAATAATTATTAGAAATAAAATTTCTAACATTGAGTTGCGTTACCTACTGGGTTAGTGTTTGTCTTTTAAAATATCGGTTTTTTTTTATTTATATTTATGTTTATATATTTTTTGAAATATCTACTTTAATTTTGCATTAGAGGAACATGTATTGATTTTTGGAACTAAATTTTGAGTATTTTTAAAAATATGAAGACGAAAATTATTTGTTTTAAAAATCAAGAACTAAAATGAAAGTTAGTAATTATTCAAGAATTAAAAATACCATTAATTTTAAATTAATTCAAAATTTCTTTGGAAGTTCAAATTTATATTTTTAATATAACATAGATTATATGATATAATAATGTTATTATTTATGCATGATTTTTTCATATAATTCTCATGTTTTATTTATAGATGTGCTTATAGTGCGAAGATTTATGTTGATCTTAATAGTCATTTTGCCACATCAAAGGAGATTTTTTTCTCCTGCAAAAATTCCTGTCTCAAAAAAAATTTAGGATCAATTAAATTCGTACAATAAGACATTTTTTTATTTTCTAAAGTTATTCCATTATTATTTTTAATTAATTACGAACATTTAATATCAAATATTTCTATTCACCTATAACACATAGTTCGGCATGAGAAGTATTGAATAAAATTATTTTTCAATATAAATGCAACATGAGTCAACATTAAAAACCCATTACACAATCATTATCCTGTTTTCTTTCTCATATTAAATTTATTCCTTATTTTACTTTGACTCTTCAAAAATTAAAATAAAAGTTAATCATTCATATACTGCCAGTGTAAAGTTTTTTACACTAGTAAAATCATATCTTTTAAATTATTTTATTTTATTTTTATTTCATTAAATGAGCAATTGACATGATACTATTAAAAGATATAATTGATTGTCAGTGTAAAAAAACAGAGAAAACTAAGAAACCATGGCAAAGGATAGGAATATTGTGATTTGTAACCAAAACAAATGTTGGTATTGCATTGGACTTCAAAAGCAGCAAGAGTGCTCTCAAAATGGGCTATTTGAAACATGGCTAAAAAAGGCCACCCCTTACATCGTCCACGTCAAGCCCACTTCTTCACACGAGTCTCGTTGTGGGCCTGGCCAACAATATATTTATTTTTTCATGAAGAACTATGGTGTGCAAGCTGATGCTTAGGTTCTTCATTTGCTTCACACTGCTGCCACAAAAAAACTGGTTTCTTACTTGCTTTTGCTTTCTTTGTTTCCATATGGTTTCAGCATACACGAGGTTCTTACTTTATATTAGGATGGCCAAAAAAGTTTGTAGCCGCTGCAATCTTGCTTCAAGTTTCTTTAATCATCCGAGGTAAGAACTTTGAAGAACAAAAAATAAAAAAGATGCTTTTATAATTTATTAATTGAAATGGCAAAATATCAAGAATGGACTAATTTTTCACTTGGAGAAATCCCATATTACAAGTATTATTTTGAAACCAAATCCCAACAGCAACAACTAAATGACAAACAACCGAAACAAGGAACCCGCACCATTTTCCTTTGTAGTTGTAAGTCACACAACACATGAATCTTTATTTATTTTTATTGATAGAAATCATAACAACACCAACTATAATGACAATAACGATGTTTAAATCTTAAATCCTATTATATTATTTTAATTCTCTACCACTAGTGGTTCTCACATTGCATAAATCTATTTTGAAGCAGAAAGACTTTCATAGCGTCTTTTGAAAATTGCAAAAACAGGGTCTCTAGGGGGCAAACTTTGTTTGACAACAGGGTGGTTGGTTAATTCTTGGCTCCATTTGTAGAGTTTGGGAAATTTGTCACTGGTGAACAACTCCAACCCCCCTATTTCTTGAATAATTGGGATCCAAAAGGCAATGCACACAGCAGCAATATCTACCAACCCAATGTCCTCTCCTCCAAAGAACTTCTTGTCCTTTATCTCATTCTCTAGAAACTGCAGAGCCTCCAATGATTCTTCACTATTCTTCTCACGCTCTTTCTCATCAACTGTGAACACAGCTGTCCATGCAGCAACCACAACCTGATTTCATATATCAGACAACTTCACTATTTTTGTCATCTCTAGCAATGATGGAAAAACACCCGTGACAGGATATTAAAAAAAAACAATATGATGCAGAATTTCTCCATTCCCAAAATTAAAAATCCTAGACAATGTCATGAGTATCAAATCATAATCATTGTTGACAAAGTTGATAGAATAGAAATTATTCAAAAAAAAAAAATCATGATAATGCAAAGTTGATTATTGAGTTTTCTAACATATTCCAAGATTTGACATTGGGTGATAAATGAGTACAATTGTTCAAAGCAAGAAAAGAAGAAAAGATGGGTTACCTTGTCATCTATGAACTTGGACCAGAAACGAGCCAAGGCTCTTTGGTAAGGGTCAGAGGGCAAGATGGGGTTGTGTTTCCATATGTTATCGATGTATTCAACAATCACAAGGGACTCTGCTATAGGCTTCCCATTGTGAACAAACACAGGAACCTTCTTGTGAACTGGATTATACTTGAGGAGAAGATCACTCTTGTTCGACAAATCTTCTTCCACATATTTGTATTCAACTCCCTTCAACTTGAGAGCGATCTCAATCCTGCAAACAAATGTGCTTCCCACAGCTCCCAAAAGCACCAACTCTTCCTGATTTGAAGCCATTATTTTTAGCACTTCAATTGCAAAACTTATCTTGCTCTCCGAGTCCTTAAGGTTTATGGCTTTATATATATAGCTAAGATGATTAGTTTAATATAATATTCTATCTATGCCTTGTTGACTACAAATCTGTAAAATATTTTATGGGTACGAGATAATCTCGTGTCTTATGTAAAATATTAATTTTTTAGTAAATTAATAATCATTTTATTCTACAACCTCTTACAACACTTTTTGTAATATTATTCTTAATTTTTTTATCCCATTAATTTAGCTTATCAGAAAATTTATATCTATTTTGTATTATTTTTTTTACATAAAAATACAATCTGTCATAAATAGATATTGCATATGAGAATATTCCATAAAAGAAAAATGAACAAAGAAGCCATCGAGTCAAGAAGCTAGACTCCATGCATCTTCTATGTCTTATACGTGATGTAAGGAATGACATTAGCAATATGTCTTTAACAATTAATATAAAGTAACAATGGAAGTGATGTAAGGAATTACATTAGCAATATATCTATTACAACTAAAATAATAGAATTGACCGAATAAACAGGAAACTGAGGCAGGCCGGTCCCGGTTTGTCTAGAGGTGCGATTGTCGCATATCAATACATTTAGAAAAAAATAAATAAATAAATAAGAAAGATTATAGACTAAGTTCCTTCTTAATTATCTCAACCGTTTCTTCTAAATCACCAGGTTAACTATTAAAAAATTATATAACAGTGAGAATCTTTTATATTATTTTAAAAATAAAATTATTTCTTATATATTTATTTTATACTTCAATACAAAATTATGATGTTATTACAAATTTCTCTTATTTATATTATTATCTTTTTCTATGTATTATATTCATAAAAGACTAACAAATATTTTTGGTATCTTCAGAAATTTTCAAGTTTACTTTCATTAAATTTTTTGTCCTATTTTAATTTTTTAAATTTGAAGATATATTATTTATATAAAATTTAATAATAAAAAATAGTATAAAAACAAATTAAATAAAAATATAGTTCAATCTTTTGAAATTTGTTAACGTAATCAAATATACTATTTTGAAATAAATCATTATCTATATTTATGTTATAAATGTTTCTATTTTAAAATATTTATATATAAGGACACATATCAATAAGTTATTAATTTGGATGATATTAGAATCGATTGTATTAAGCAAAACATTAAGATAATGAATCAATATTTTAAATAAAATTTAACTATAAAAAGTTGATAAATATTTTATACTAATAATATTATTATAAAAAATAATATAAAAATTCATATTTATGCTTTAGCAACTCATAAAATATCATATCATGATCAACTCAAATTTAAGGAAGAATCAAAGAAAAAATGTGTGTTTAAATATCGATTTGAAATTATGTTCAAAGAAAAACAATTTTTATTGTAAAAACACTACAAGTAAGTTACTGTATAGTGACACAATAAGTGTTACTAAAAATTACTTTTACCTACATAATAAATATAACATATGTTGGTATATTGTTAAAAAGTATGGGTAAGCTATAGTGACACGCAAAATATGTTGTTAAATTTTAATCAAAATCAATACTAAAATTGTATGTAGATATATGTCAAATAGATATATAACTACGTATATTATATTTATAGTGACACTTTTTAAATGTTACTATATGTAATATTTATTGTAATAAAATAAAAATTATCAATGTAATTTTTTTTTAATTTCAACTAAATTGATTTCCAAATACACTAAAACGTTAGTTCCAAGGAATGATGGAAGCATTGATTTGCAATGGAATACGACTATGCATGTATGGCAAAAGGCTGGATTGCCTTAAACCGAAATACCAATTGCAATAGGCATACAAAATGGCATTTTGATTGTAATAGTAAAATAAGAGTTTAGACTTTAGAGTGTGATTATTTATGTATTTTCTTATTACTACATCACACGGTTTGTGGTGCAGTTTTGATTCGATTTTTAATTTAAAATTCATTTAACTTAAATAAAAAAAGATTAAGTACAATTTAGTTTAATTTATTTTATGAAATACATACTAAATTAAATTAATCTTGTATAATTTAATTTGATTTAGGAAATATTTTAGACTAGTTTAAAAAAATTGGACTTCAAGTTAAACCATGTTGGACGATGGACACTCTCATGGACAAAATTTTTAATCTTAAATGTAACATTGTCTTTTTTATTAATAATGGTTAATTTTATTAATTTATTTATTATTATAAATTATTATTTAATTGTTGAGAAGGAATTAAGGAATTATTGTGAACTTTAGTTATTTAGAAGTTGCTTTGAGTAGAGGTTAATTAAAATTGACTTGTTAAGAAAAAATATATAAAAGTCTTTTTTAAGAAGTGAACCTCACAAGTTCATTTTCTGAAGAAAGTTAGAAAGAATAGTTCTAGAGTCTAGATTCTTCCCTCTTCTTTTAAGCTTTCTGGAGAGTGACCTAGAGCCTTTCCAGAGTGAGGTTGTGTAGCTAGAATTGAGATTCGAAACTTTAGAGTCGTGAATCAGAATGGTAGTGGCGGTTCCATGCAGAGTTCTCAAGACAACCTATCTTTCTTCTTCTTCCTCTTTCTTAATGATTTAGAGGTAAGGGAAGTTAGGACATGCTACTACAGGATGCATATTCTACATCGGTTCTGCGAGGTCATCTACATCAGTTCTAAAATCGATGTAGAATAGAGCGACTTAAAAAATCTATACCCTTTTACATCGATTTTAGAACCGATGTAGATTATGCCTAAATCTACCTTAGTTTTCAAGAGAACCGATGTAGATTTATACATAAATTCACAAAAATTGATGTAAATTTACGCATAAATTTACATATGTTCTTTAGAAAATCGATGTAGATTTCATTTTTTTATAAAAAAAATATGCTTATTTTTAGATTATTTTTGATTACCTGTAATGAACATATATATAAATATTTCAAACAGATTTTTCAAATATAAATATAATGGATAAATATTGTGCATCAAGATTAACTTGCCTACCAAATTATAATAGCAAAAATCACACAAACAAATTATAATATACATGCTTATATAAATAGAAAACCATAAAAAATTATTAAGCAAAAATAATGTCAATAGTTGATTACAACATTAAGAGATAAGGAGAAATTATTTAGAACTATTGTCTAAGATAACAATGAAATACAAAAAATCACTTCTTTCTCTTTTCTTTTTTCAATAAAATATGATGGGTTAGAGTTGGTTGCCTCTTCTTTTTCTAACTTTTGGTGACTAATTGCCGGAATTGAGGCTCCTTCTGTTCAATTCAATTACAACATCTGATGCAGTAGAACACCTAATACCAAATAAAGGCAATAAAAACTATTAACAAAAAAAATGAACAAATAAATTTAATGTTAACCTCTTATATATGTTTTTTCTTTGGATAGAAATAAAAATATTAACATAACTTGAATTATAACATTTATATTTAAATTTGGTTACAATAATGTTTTTTTTTTTTTTTGCAAAATCATTGAAGATTGGTAATAACATTATAAGGGTAGAAAACCCAATTTAAATATCAACAATATTAAGAAAGATAATAAATTGATAAAATGTAAACTCATGATTCTTCTATTTTTCTCTCACCTAAAACTGTTAGATTTTTCTATTCTTCAACAAAATTAGTCAAGAACAAAAATCAACTAAACCACCCAAAATCTGCTAAAAATAATAGCTCATAAAAGCTGCAACAACTAAAAATCTACTAAAATTGCCAAACCAAGATCAAGTAGGGTCCAAAGGAGAACAACCAAATGTGTTTCTATTTCATTAGTCCAATTAAAATGAGAGAGAAATTAAATTAAGAATTTTGTTAAGAACTTTAATATTGGAGTAAAATATGTTTTGATTTTTTAAAATCTATAGTGACATAATGGAGTTCACAAAAATGAGTTAAAAATCCATTTAAGAACTCAATGATTAGAGATGCTCTAATGCTATAAATTATAATCCTTGACAATTTAAAATCACTTATAGAAGTAGCGATACTTATGAGCTTCTGGTTTCACTGAGATTATGTAACTTATTGTGTAGACCAATTACTTGTGCTGAGAGAAATTCACTGTCATAGGGTCCAGATTCTCTATATATCTGCCTATTTTGCGTCTATGTAGCCCCAAAGTTAACTTAATGAGGTTGATATTTCTTATATAATAAAATAAGTACATAATTGTTATCTATAATTGAGAAAAAATATTATTATAAAAAAGAAAATTAGAACAATATTAACATATAGATAGATACTTCTATTTAAAATTGTTGTAATATAACTGTGAATAATCAATCGAAACTCTTATTTGTCCTCAAACATAAATAAAGAACCAAAACACATGTTTACTCCAAATGATTGGTGCCTGCATGAAATATGAGCATATATGTATAATAGTCCATTCAGATAATGTGATAGAACCAAAACACTAACCTTGGTAATTGGACAAATTAAAAACTACTAGGTCATGTGAAAGGTTCTTGCTGAGGCTTTCTTTCCCTTCAGTTGTGATCAAATAACAGTTGGCCAATATTATGATCTAACTTGTGATTTTTGCACTCATAATTAAAGTCTGGGTTACATACCTTTACTCATAATTACGCCACAAACAAGAAATACTAGAGTTTGGGTTAACTTCTTCAATATCAATGTGTTGAAAAAATCATACACTTTAATTTTACAAATCAGATTCTGACTAAATTTGTCTCCCTTGCCAAGATCAATCTCCTATCTATGTTACACCATTACCTACCTAACTTTTTGGGCCCCTTCTATTAAAAAAATTATTAACATCCACATAAATTATTTTTACAATTAGCAGCATGAATGATGAATAAATCAACCACATAAAATAATAATACTAACAGAAACAACAATATCTCTTAATAGAGTAAAATATACTTACAAACATCTTCAGGCCAATTGAGGTTATTTTAAGTTGCTGCCCAACTTTGAAGTTCAACTCAAGAACATCCTTAACTGACTTGGAGATATAATAAATTCTTTTCACATGATTTACATCACTATTTCTT